TAATTTTAAAAAATTGCATTTTTAATCTTTTACAATTTCTACATGTCAATTGTTTTTTTAATAATATTTTTTGCACTATTTTATTTCTTAAAAAAAATTCTAAAAATTATCAAGTATCGCTCGTTAATTTCAATATTTTTATGACATTAAAGTTAGCAGTCACTTGATAATTTTTAGAACTTATTCATTCATAAAAAAAATTGAATTTTTTTTGCACTAATGTATTTATTAAAAAAATTATTAAGAAAATAAATAAAAAAAAAAAAAATCAATTTTTTATGAGTAATTTTTTGGAGCAAATTTGTTAATTAATAAAAAATGTCATTAAAATGAACTAACATTTGATAATAATCTCATAAAAATTTTTTTAAATCCAAAATTTTGACAGAAATTTATAAAAAAGTTCTACCTGTCAAAATTGCAAAAAAAAATAAATTCAAATAAATTTTTAGAACTTATTCATTCATAAAAAAAATTGAATTTTTTTTGCACTAATGTATTTATTAAAAAAATTATTAAGAAAATAAATAAAAAAAAAAAAAATCAATTTTTTATGAGTAATTTTTTGGAGCAAATTTGTTAATTAATAAAAAATGTCATTAAAATGAACTAACATTTGATAATAATCTCATAAAAATTTTTTTAAATCCAAAATTTTGACAGAAATTTATAAAAAAGTTCTACCTGTCAAAATTGCAAAAAAAAATAAATTCAAATAAATTTTTAGAACTTATTCATTCATAAAAAAAATTGAATTTTTTTTGCACTAATGTATTTATTAAAAAAATTATTAAGAAAATAAAAAAAAAAAAAAAAAATCAATTTTTTATGAGTAATTTTTTGGAGCAAATTTGTTAATTAATAAAAAATGTCATTAAAATGAACTAACATTTGATAATAATCTCATAAAAATTTTTTTAAATCCAAAATTTTGACAGAAATTTATAAAAAAGTTCTACCTGTCAAAATTGCAAAAAAAAATAAATTCAAATAAATTTTTAGAACTTATTCATTCATAAAAAAAATTGAATTTTTTTTGCACTAATGTATTTATAAAAAAAATTATTAAGAAAATAAATAAAAAAAAAAAATCAATTTTTTATAAGTAATTTTTTGGAGCAAATTTGTTAATTAATAAAAAATGTCATTAAAATGAACTAACATTTGATAATAATCTCATAAAAATTTTTTTAAATCCAAAATTTTGACAGAAATTTATAAAAAAATTCTACCTGTCAAAATTGCAAAAAAAAATAAATTCAAATAAATTTTTAGAACTTATTCATTCATAAAAAAAATTGAATTTTTTTTGCACTAATGTATTTATTAAAAAAATTATTAAATACCTGGTACTTAAATTTTAATAAAATTTTTAAATATCGGCTAACTTAATTTTGATCCTGAAACTATAGAAGATTGTAGGTAAGGTCCCAGTACATATTATAACACTAACAGTTTAAATACTAATACTATCTATATCTACGATATCTGTGTATCTGTTCATACATACCAACCAGCACCCATCAACCAACATGTAGGTATAATATAAATTTACCAATACCAACGGCAACTACCGACTACGACCTACGGGCTACGGTCATTATTTACAAGAGATACAAAATGTCTTACCTCGTCCCACATTCTTGTAACACTTAACAACAATTAAATAATTAAACTTATTTAATTTTCAAAATAAAAATCCAAAGTTTAAAAATTATTTTAAATAAACTGACTGATTAAAAAAAAAAAACTTACTTGATTTAAAAACTTCCTTTTTTGCAGATGAACTTTTTTCGCGCCTACGCCATCGCACATTCCAGGTGTACCCGGCTATTTATTTATTTTTTAAAACTTTTACACTTAATTACAATCACTTGTGATCCAGGTTATGTTTTTAAGTAACTTGCAATAATTATTACATTAATCAATTACTTATTGTGAGACACTAATATAATTATAAGCACCACTGAGATTACTCCGGCAATTAAATTTTACGCAGCAGATGTATCTTGCAGTTGTAACTGTGGATGTAATTTGTTTTGTATGTGTATATTTTGGTGAGTATTTATTATGTATGTGCTTGTAGATTGATGCACAATAATGTGATGAATATTGTTTTAGATTAAGAGCACGGTGAACAAGAACCGCAACGCTCCGCTGACGACTGACTCGGAACTGGCCAGAAACCAAGCTCAAGCTAAGTTGTGTGTTGTGTAGTTTGTGCTGTTAGACTGTGAAGTTGTGTGCGGCAAATGTGTGTACTCCAACGGTCGTTTCTACCCCACTACTATACTACTCTGTTTTTTTATTGAAATTTGTTTACCAGGTATTTATTGAATTTTAATTACTTTTTAACAAATTTTTTCTAAAAAATTATTTTTAACAAATTTTAAACTGTCAATTTTCTTTTTTCTAATTTTTTACCATAATTTATGTGTTAAAAAAATTACTAAAATTATAATGAAAATTAATTTAGCATATATTTAATAATTTAAAAAATTTTATTGTACAACAAAAAAATTATAGCAAAAAAATATTGACAGAAATAAAAAAAAAAAATAAAAAATTTAATTTTTTAAAAATAACAAATTTTTTTGATAAATAAAATTAAAAAATTGTTAACTTTAATGTCATAAAATTATAAAATATCTGCTAAATTAATTTACATAAAAAAAAAAAAATGAGGACAAAAATTGACATGTAGAAATTTTAAAAAATTAAAAATGCCATTTTTTTAAAATTATTTTTCAGAGCAAATTTGTTTGATAAAAAAAATAAAAAAATTATCACTGCTAACTTTAATGCCATTGTTTTTTTTTTTTTGAATTATTAGAGAAGAATGAAAATTATGTTAGCCGACATCTAAAAAATTTTATGATATTAAAGTTAGCTGTCACTTGACAGTTTTTTAATTTTATTTAACAAACAAACTTCTTCTAAAGATTTATAATTAAGAAATTACATTTCTAAAATTGCACTAATTTATTAAAAAATTTTGTATAAGTAGAATTTTTGAAAAAAAAAATTATTATTATCAGATCTTTATTAATTTTAACATAAATTTTTTAAATTTTATATTTAGAAAAAAAATATTGAAACTAGCAACTTTGCAGTCACTATGTGACTGCTGTGACTTGGCTATTAATAAATAAAATTTTGCTTTATTAAATAATAACTTTTGTTAAATTGCACTGTACTTTCTTAAATATTGACGATTTTAAAGATATAAGCTCATCCCGATGTTACATTCATCAAGACCTTTCATTTGAGTACCCACATGCATTTTTATATATTTTTCATATATATAATATATATATTTTAAAGATATAAGATCATCCCGGTATTGCACTCATCAAGAGCTTTCATTTGAGTACCCACATGCATTTTTGATATATTTTTCATATATACATATATATATTATATATAAATATATGAAAAATTGATGTGGGTACTCAAATGAAAGGTCTCAATGAGTTGAATGTTGGAGTGAGCTTATATCTTAAAAAATACCATTAGCTGACAAGATACAATATCATTTCTTAATTATTGACATTCTTTAAAAAATAAGCTCATCCCGATGTTGCACTCATCAAGACCTTTCATTTGAGTACCCACATGCATTTTTGATATATTTTTCATATATATATATATAAATATAAATATATAAAATATATGAAAAATTGATGTGGGTACTCATATGAAAGGTCTCGATGAGTGTAACATCGGGATGAGCTTATATCTTTAAAAATGTCAATAGTTCACAAGATACAAGGTCATTTCTTCATTATGTATCTAGAAATAGAGCATTTCCGAATGCAGCTTAAATACTTATCATAATTAATTGACTATAAGAGAGAATGATATGAAATCTTGAAAAAACACGAATTCAAATCAAGACCTTTGTAATGACACTAAAAAAACCGATTTTATCATGTGACTATCCGGAAAGCAAATTTTTTCTTATTCTCTTAATAATATAGATAATCAAAAGCCGAAGTTATCTTTTTAAGTAAATAAAAATCTAAAAATAAACATTAAAAAAGCATAAAATGTTTTTAAATATTTATTCACAATATTTCCAAAGTTTTTAGACAATGAGACCTGTGTTTATCGATCCTTTAAACATTACCTGTAATTTATATTAATTACAATTATAATTACAAATTAATAATTAATAATCGGTAATTAATCTAACATACAACTAAGCACTCTTGGTCTCGCTACAAATCTATATAAATTTTATTTATATATCTTGTTTGTTTATCAATATATATTTTTATTTGTATAAGAAAAAACATCCACCGTCATCAATACAGAGAGAAAATAAAGCAATTTTCATGATGAAAATTACGCAATAAACATGTCCCGAGTGCGACGTTAAAAAACAAAAAGTAACCAACTAATTAACAACAACAAATTAATTTATTTATTTATTTATTTATTTATTAATAAGTATGACACCAACGTTTATTTCAATTCATAGTTTATCAATAAGTCACACTCTTTTTTTTAATATCTATTTTATACCCGTGTAAAAATTATTAAATTAATTTTTTAACGAAGGACATTTTAATTGTTAAAAATTTTTATAAAAAAATTTTTTTTTAATATTTTTTTTTTGAAAAAAAAAAAAATTTTAATTAAAAAAAATTTTTTTATAAAAAAATATTAAATTTTAATGTCCTTCGTAAAAAATTTTTTTACACAAAAAAGTTGTACATATATCCATATTATAAATAATATATTTTGTCCGTAATTAACAACCAGTTAAATAAAATGCAAAGTGGAAATTTTAAACGCCAAGAGTAGTGTTACTGATTTTTATTTACTGCCAGAGATTTATATAATTAAATGAATAAAAATTCACTGGATGTAATTTAAAAATTTTAAATCTCTTGCATAGACAAAAATCAAAAGAATAATTATTAAAAGTGAGGAATATTAATTATAATTAATAACATTAATTATCATTATCGTTATCATTATTGGAATATTGGCGGTTAGCTCATCGAAACTTGCCCGTTGGCAAGTAATCTTTCGACGGCGGCATTAATGTCCCCGAAAGTCGCTATCAAAGCTTGAATATTGGCTTCTCTGTTGACGAATCCCATCGCCGTGAGTTGTTCTAGTTGCGTGCGGTAGCGTTCCTCGGGTGGTGGGAGGTTCTGTCCTCCGACACCAACGCCACCTTGCCCGTCAACGTTCTCCTGCTGGTGGAGCGACATTGAAGAGACAACGTGCGCTAAAAGATTTGAAAAGGCGTTCTGGGGGCTCGCGAACGCATCCTGAGTTCCTGGGGTGCTCGCGGTTGTTGTTCCGGTTCCTGTTCCTGTTCCGGTTTCTGGGGCAGTCGTTCCTGTTCCAGTTGTTCCAGTCTGACCTGTTGTAGATCCAGTAGTGGTTCCTGCAAGGTAATAATTAGTTATAAATCAGCTGACAATTATTTTTTAATATATTAAGGTAAAAGTTCCAATTATTGACAGGGGTCTAAATATTGACACGAAATTATTTTTAAATATATTTAATTACACGGAAAGAACAAGATGACACTGGATACCATCTCAGATTATACTCAGTGACATCAGAGGTGAAAAAAAAAATTTCAGATGGTAGCTAGTATAATCCAGATAATACTGAATAATATCGGGATTATACTCATTGTTTAAAAAAATTTTTTTATAAAAAAATATTAAATTTTAATGTCCTTCGTAAAAAATTTTTTTACACAAAAAAGTTGTACATATATCCATATTATAAATAATATATTTTGTCCGTAATTAACAACCAGTTAAATAAAATGCAAAGTGGAAATTTTAAACGCCAAGAGTAGTGTTACTGATTTTTATTTACTGCCAGAGATTTATATAATTAAATGAATAAAAATTCACTGGATGTAATTTAAAAATTTTAAATCTCTTGCATAGACAAAAATCAAAAGAATAATTATTAAAAGTGAGGAATATTAATTATAATTAATAACATTAATTATCATTATCGTTATCATTATTGGAATATTGGCGGTTAGCTCATCGAAACTTGCCCGTTGGCAAGTAATCTTTCGACGGCGGCATTAATGTCCCCGAAAGTCGCTATCAAAGCTTGAATATTGGCTTCTCTGTTGACGAATCCCATCGCCGTGAGTTGTTCTAGTTGCGTGCGGTAGCGTTCCTCGGGTGGTGGGAGGTTCTGTCCTCCGACACCAACGCCACCTTGCCCGTCAACGTTCTCCTGCTGGTGGAGCGACATTGAAGAGACAACGTGCGCTAAAAGATTTGAAAAGGCGTTCTGGGGGCTCGCGAACGCATCCTGAGTTCCTGGGGTGCTCGCGGTTGTTGTTCCGGTTCCTGTTCCTGTTCCGGTTTCTGGGGCAGTCGTTCCTGTTCCAGTTGTTCCAGTCTGACCTGTTGTAGATCCAGTAGTGGTTCCTGCAAGGTAATAATTAGTTATAAATCAGCTGACAATTATTTTTTAATATATTAAGGTAAAAGTTCCAATTATTGACAGGGGTCTAAATATTGACACGAAATTATTTTTAAATATATTTAATTACACGGAAAGAACAAGATGACACTGGATACCATCTCAGATTATACTCAGTGACATCAGAGGTGAAAAAAAAAAATTTCAGATGGTAGCTAGTATAATCCAGATAATACTGAATAATATCGGGATTATACTCATTGTAATCTGGATTATACTCACTGTTATCTGGATTATACTAGCTACTATCTGAAATTGTTTTTCACTCAGTATAATCTGGGATTATATTCAATATAATCTGAGATTATATTCAGTATAATCTGGGATTATATTCAGTATAATTTGGGATTATATTCAGTATAATCTTGTTCTTTCCGTGTATCTGTAGGTACTTAACTTTATTAAATAAGTAAAAATCATCAATTATTAAATTGTTTAAATTATTTTAAATTAAAATAAAGAATTTTGACAAATATTGGGAAGACTAAAATTAAAAAAAAAATTTTAACATTATTTTGACTCATTAGTTACGCTCGAACTTCCTTAATTAATAATTTATTTTTATGAAAAATTACCTTGTGTTCCAGTAGGTGGCGCAGTAAAAGTTCCCAGTCCTCCCATAGACCCAACAAAATCAGGAGCGACAGTCCTGAGCTGTTCCATACCCTGCTGAATCTGCATTATCGCAGCCAGGGCGTCGGGGTTCGTGACCACGCTCTGAATCTGAGGATTCTGCATCTGCTGGATGAACGCCGGGAGCATGGTGCGCATTTGCTCTTGCATTTGCGGGTTGGACCTGAAGTGAGGGTTCGCGGAGAGGATGCTGTCAGCGATCGCGGGGTCGTCGGACATCGCCTCGAGGATTGAGCGCGTGTAAGGTGAGCCAAGCATGTTTCTCAGCAGCTGTGGGTTCTCCATCATCTGCTGGGTCAGGCTCTGCATTCCTGGAGAGTCAAGAAGGCCGCGACCAAGGCCACCCAGAGACCCACCTAGAGACCCGGTGGTGGTTCCAGTTCCGGTTCCGGTTCCAGTTCCTGTAGTTCCTCCCTCTGTGCGCTCTGGAGGACTCCAGGGATTTGGCAGAGGGTTCCGGTTCTCTTGGCCCTGCTGAGGGTTATTTGCACTGTCAGTGCTGTTCTCTACCAGCGCAGCAAATGGGTTGCGATCGTTGGCTGCTGCCGCGAGCATCGGCTCCTGGATGTCGCGGTACATGCGTCGGAGAGCGCTGTGGCCGCCTGGAATGCTTTCGAGGTTCGATAGGGCTCGGTCGTGAGAGCGCATTAATTCTTGGAGCATTGATGGGTTCCGGGCTAGTTCCATTGTTTGTCTAGATTTTTCAAATAATAATTTAGTTATTTATTTAAAAAATAAAGGAACCAAATTTTGACCAACCAAGTAGATAGAATGATTTTTTTTATATTTAATAAGTTAATAAATATTTGTTAAGTTAACAATATAAAATACTCGTTTCAGCTGATAAACTCTTCCAATAAATTTACAAACAATGTATTTATATTAATTTTATCTAAACTGGTTAATATTTAGAGCCTTTACTCTATTATAATTATAACTTTTAATATTAGCAAAAAATTTATAATTTTTTAGAATCATTGAAAAATTTTTTTTTAAAATTCTCTATGGAATTTTTAATTTAGTTCATAATTACTAGCAACTTTGCAGTCACTATGTGACTGTCGTGATTTGTGAACTAAAAAAAAATTAAAATTTTGCTCTATTAAATAATGACTTTTGTTAAATTGGACTGTACTTTTTAAAATATTGACGTTTTTAAATATATAAACTCATCCCGATGTTACACTCATCAAGAGCTTTCATTTGACTACCCACATGCATATTCATATATTTTTCATATATACATATATATTTTAAAAATATAAGCTCATCCCGATGATACACCCATCAAGAGCTTTCATTTGAGTACCCACATGCATTTTCATATATTTTTTCATATATACATATATATTTTAAAAATATAAGCTCATCCCGATGTTACACTC